TGTAAACGTACCACACAGTCAGTTGTAAAAGTAAATGTGGAAATACTGTGCTAAGTTGCAAGGTTTTTTCTCTAAAAAAAACCAGGTCGCAATGACAATGAATGTACTATTGATATTCGTTGTGCCACAAGCGTGTTCATGCTCTCTGTTATAAGCTCACTTTCAATTATAAAACCTGTTTTATTATTCAGATAAACTAACTTGGGTTTTCATTCGTACAGTCGATGGCCTCGTCGTCATAATTCAAAGTACCAAATGTTGCATATTATTGAATATTGGTAATTCCCAGTTACATTTAACATTAACCATTTCTCTGACTGTAAAAAAAGAGGAAATAATATATTATTGGTACTACATGTATATAAATTGTATTTAAAACTTTAAAAATACGGTAACGACGTCGTGATTTGCGAGTTTTATTAGATTGATAAACGCTGAGGTTGGCTTTAGGTACTACTTAGTGTTCCAAGTTCCCAACACCGGAGGGCGTACAAAGGTTCCGTCAATGGTCAATCTTTGCATAAAATGCGCGGATTGAAATTATTCTGCCAACACAACCACTGTGAAAGTATTTTATTCAAACACCGATGGTGAAACAAGTGAAAAATCTGTGTATGACGGCCGATGCATACCTGTCCCATTGCCTGCCCTCTATTGTGAATGGGGATGACTACCCGCAATGGCGGACATCAGTTGCAGTGTTTGCATCGGCAAGAAAACCCTGACTAAAATGCGATCATATGGTAGATTTTATGCATTTTACCAGATGTACATTTCGAATCGAAACCCCCAGTAGGCCTACTGTGTAACATCGGTAAATCGGGCGAAAAGAAAAACGAGCGAACCGGTAATTGGGCGAACTGGTAATCAGGCAAAGGAGTTCGGGCGAAGTGGATTTCGGGCGAAGTGACTGTACCCCGAACAATAGCGTCCTATCTCCTCTCTTTTTACCTTCCATGCTAGTAATTTGATCTTGTTTTTTCATGTTTTATCTGAATGTTTATTGGTAAGACAAGGGTTTGAAGAGGATTTTAGCACTTTATAACACCAAAAGTAAACTTTCTCAAGTGCTTTTTTAATCCTCTTAACTCAGTGGTTCATCCTGTGTTAGTAGGTCCATGCATGGTTTATAGTTCCATGGTCCATGGAAGGTAGGTACTTAAGCCTCTTAAGGATGCTGTACACCTTTTTTTGCTTTGATACCCCAAATTCTACTTTTTTGTATTTTTCAATGCCGGACTACAAGGAGCAAACACTCAGTAGGTAAAAAAAGTGATTTGGATGTTTTTATAGGGTGTAAAAATCAATTTTTGTTAATTAAAAACAAAAGCACATGTCATTGTTTTGAAAGCTACAGTACTCATTCCGCCCAACCTCCCGCTTTTATCGCTTTTTTTCCGACCGCTTATCGCTTAATTTCCGACCGCTCGCTGCTTTCCGACCGGAAACCGACCGCTTTTTTTCCGCTCGCTCGCGTTCGCTTTTGTTCGCTCGCTCGCTCGCTTTTGTTCGCTCGTTCGCTCGCTCGCTCGCTTTTGTTCGCTCGCTCACTCCTGCTATGGCTGGCTTCAGAAACATCGTCCGCTTGCCAGCCGACCGCTGGAGTAACAATGATCGTACATTGTATGTATAAAC